GAAGCAGGAGAGTGCGGTATGCCTTACCTGGTGGGTCCATGAACCAAACGTGGGGCGGCAGGGGTTGGAGATGGCAGATGGCAACAGGAGGGCAACAAAATATATGCGCAGTCACAACCAAGGTCCGCTGTATGTGGACCCTGGCTGAGCCACGCTGGCAATCAACCAGATCCCCAGATTCGGAAATCAGTACTTACTGCATGGGCTCTGCTGTCATCCACTGATTCGTACACATATCCGCTGTCATCCGCTAGATTAGCGGATGGGGTATATGGCTTCCGGTCCGTAAGAGAATATCCGTTAACACCCAAGCAGAATCCGCAAAGTCCGCTAATTGGTGCTAGCCGTCCGCTGCCATCCGTATCACGTCAGCAACAGAGAAGCGGGGTCTGCTAAATTAATGGATATTAATGGACGGCAACCCCCGTCCGCTATTAACGGATCCGGGTGGCCACCTCTACTGTCTTCCAGTCGCCCTCGGCTTCTGGAATCATCGGCATCTGATGTCCTGTCAGACTGGGGACCCTTTTGGGCTGTTTCGCCTGCTGCGAGACTTTCTCCTCTGCCTCGCGTGCCCGCATCTTCTGCTTCAGCAGTCGGTGGCTCAATGTGGCCACCTGCTGCTCGGCGGATGCCTTGGCTTCATCGGCCTGGCGGCTCTGTTCCTTAGCCTTCTTCAACGTGACCTCGTGCCGCCTGGCCTCCTTCTGTGCCATGGCCGCCGCAATTTCCAACTTGGTGATCCTAGCGGCGGCTTTTCTGTCCCGCGTCTCTTGGGTCTGCATAGCCACAGTCACTGCCATCCTCTCCAGAAGCTCCATTATTCCTGGCGCTTGCAGGAAGGCGGCCATTGTGCCCGGTTCCACCGCCTCCGCTTCTGAGGTCTCCTCTGCCTCGGCCATCGGGTGGTCGTGCTCCTCCGGCTCAGCTTGACCCGACGACGCACCGGCAGGGTCCTCTCGGACTTCCTCCATCTCTTGGCCCTCTCGGGTTGTGGCTTCCTCACTGGCTGAACTTGCCGGGGTCCCCTCTCGGGGTGTTTCTTCGCCCGTGGATTCAGGCGTGTCCTCTCGGGCTATGGGGTCCGTTTCCTCAGCCTCCATCGAGGAGGCCAGGGAAGAAGCCTGGTTCCTGGTGCTTGCTCTCGCACCCAGGCAAAGACATGGTAGCCACCCACATGTGGCTCCGAAACCAAATGATACGAAAAGGTTTTGGGTATGGGGCTCCTGCCCTCTTTGAGCTATGGACCCGCCTTGCCGGGCACTTAGGTCCTTACGGGGACCTAAACGGGACCACCCCGTCCTACTCCCGTATTTTAATAACTATAATGGTTACAATGGGATAAGGAATAGTTATCGTATCTTGGGCAGGGTGTCCCCCACACCAAGGGCCATTAGTAAGGCGTCCCCTATATCAAGCCGGTGCGCGTAACAATTTGCCCTTGTTCGCACCAGCTGCTGATCCTCAATTGTTGTTGTGTGCATTAGTTGTTGATGCTGAATTGGCTTTGCGTGCATCACACGTTGATTCTGAGCTGCTGTTGTATGCATCATTTGCTGATGCTGAATTGTCCTTGCGTGCCTCACATGTTGATTCTGAATTGCCACTGTGTGCATTAGCTATTGATGCTCAATTGCCATAGTGTGAATATATTGCCGATGTAAACTTGCATGCATGAGTTGCTGATGCTGAATTGCTATTGTGTGCATCAATATTTTCCAAATGCAATTGTGCTTTTTGGATTGTTAGTTGCAAACAGATCTAGATCTAATTGTGTTTTATATGGTGGTGGAATATCAGATGAGCTCATCGGAATGCGCACCACACAAGGCAACACAGACAACCATGAGGAAGATAACGATGGTGGGTGGTATGCATATCAAATTTGGCAGGGAGCACTTGTTGCTAGAATGGATAGTAAATGTTGTTCACGTGCAGGTCACAATTGGCAACCCTGGGCCCCGCAAAGAAAAGATCAAAACTGCATCCTCAGCAACCTCCCCAGACAACATCCACCCACACCCGCACACCGTCCACATGCTCCCCGGATGGCATCCGCGCACACCCACACACCATCCGCGCGCTCCCCGGATGGTGTCCGCACACACCCACACACCATCCGCACGCTCCCAGGATGGCGTCCGTGCACACCCACACAACGTCTGCATGCTCCCCGAATAGCGTCTATATGCCTTGTGGATGATAGAAAGTCTCCACGCTAAAAGTGTCTGAGTGCATGGGAAAAGTGTCCAATGCATTCGCGCAACACGCGGACGAAAAAAGAGTTTGCATTTTTGCCAGATTCTGCACACTCGGATGCTCTGGATGTGCTCAGACGCTTTTGTTTCAGCGCTCAGATGTTTTAGCTTAATGCGCGGATGCTCTGGATACTTTTCTTAGTGCTTTGGACACTGCCAATAGCAAAAGCTCGGATGCACTCGGACACTCTTGGACAACTCCGAGGTGCTAGGAAACTGTGCGAATGCCCCCTTTTTCCATGGTGATATATGTACATGCATCACAACAAACCCGCATTTGACCAATTTTTCTTTAATAATGCATGGCGCTAATCTCCTTATGCTACAAACCAAGATTTGAACAATGCGTTTCTCACCATGGAAGAAAATTGTGCAAGCAATTCAAGAGATATTGGCTGCCACTGCCGAGCCGCCAATATTGCAGACATTCTAGCAGAGGACAACCTTATGCTATCCAAGGCAGAGGCGCTTGCCAAAGGGGAGAATGTCCAAGGGGATACAAACATGGAAGAAAACTCATGTGGCCTGTGATGATTCACCCTCCTGTCCGACACACAGAGCATTCTCTAGTCCAAAATTCTGCCAAGGAATGTATCCAATAGTGTTGTTCGGTTGGAAGAATGATAGCTTCTGGTCTGCGGTGTTTGGCCACAAATAGTGCAAAGGCATATATTCTGGGCACAGGGTGATAGGGGGTAACCATTTTTTCTTGATAGGATTTCTAGTTTTCTGTCTTTTGGGGACTCCACTCTGTCATAATTGGAAACTTAAAATTAACAAGCTTGTCATGCGCTACGCAAGTATAGCGCAATCCATCTACAACTTGTGGACCAGGCCCAGTTCATCAATAATCTATTATTTACTATCATTATGTTAGCTGCACATAGTTAAATGAATACATTCATCTGAGAATCTATACTTGTGTACAAGTTTATTATATAGTAAAATATATTTTATATTGACAACTGGAAGATAGGTCCATTTATAAGTTATTAAATGGTCTCCACTCTTTGCAGACAACATATCACTACAATAAATACTGCAGTGCACCAGATCTGCCCAACTCTAGACCAGAATTTCAACCAACTCACAGTTTTGTTAATAAGCATGACCAGGACAAATATTGCACACCATATCCACAAACACCCCCCTCGCAATTGGGGCCCCATCCTATAAGGTTAGGCGATTGAGCGATGACCCAAGCCGCTGCTTTGGAGTAGTCACAAGAAGCGTGGACACCACGTGTCATGGCATGCACATTCATCGCCGGTCAAACGGTGCATACACACAGCCTCACAAGAAGGTTCCCACACAGGGATCGGGCGTACAAATTTCGGCTCCAAATCAAGCACAACTTCCTTGTTGACGATGGCACAGAACGCAACCACTTTTCTACCTGTCTCCCTTTTCTTCCATTGGCAACCTTTCGCTTAGAAATCAATGTGGGATGTGGGCTGCTACACCACGGACTCTCCATCACCACCACAAAAAAAATGGTGAGACAAAACATAAAAAGAGAAGCCCGATCTTTTAACTCCAATCTACCATTCAAACACTGCATTCCTGACTACTCCGATTGCTCATATGGTCATTTCAAGATTCAAAAATGCTTGCATACAAAAGTGGTCCAGGACATAACATGAACAATTTTACTGATTTTGCAGTGGCACTTTCCTTGGCCATCCCATGCCATGAATAATGCAATGCCATGATAATTCAAGTGCATGATGTGCAATTGAAATACAGTCCAATCACTAGCTGCGAAACACAATAGATAGCATTTGTCAGGTTCACCTAGTGAAACGGTGGTCATGATGTGGCCATGCGACCACGCGGATCTGGCCTGCTTTTAAAGGAAGACTATAAGGTTCGTGGTGCGAATCTGTCCTTCCCACTAGATGCATTCATTTAATTACTCTGGATGGAGGAAGTATTAATTTCCACTCATGTGTTATCGCTCTGCATATACTTCCATTACTTTGTTTTCCACCATATATCTTAAGCAATAGATGCAATCAATGTGTTGGTCCAAATCGCAGATGTCAAAACTGTTGTTGCAGACAGGGGGAGGGGGTGAAACAGCTATCTCAAAAGGCTGCTTCTCCAGCGATGTCTATTTAACCCTTATTCGCCGGCGTCTTCTCATCCGAATTCCTCCGGGAACATGAAGCCCTGAGAGCGACTTGAAGGGGCGGCCCATCACGTGCCCCGCGAATGTGCTACTATTCGGTCCTTACTCAACGAGCCCCGCGTCACGGTGCGCCGTGGCCCACCACAAACGCCACCGGTGGGCGGACGGGGAAGCAATCCGCCGGTCGGAGACAGTCAGCATCCGTCCGAGACCATGTGCGCGTCGACGCCGAGGCGGTCTAACCTGACGAACCCCCCGCCAAATCCCGTTCCATGGCGGGCCCAGCCTGCATACCGGGGTGCTGAAACATCGGAGCAGTCTCCGTACCGGCGATCCAGTACTTCTTTCCAAGCCGCGGACGGCCCCTTATGACAGACAAAGTCTGGGCACACACACGCAGTGCGCGGACAATGTCGTATAGCGCCACGGTTTTGGGTGCCATCCGTTCGCGGGGGAGCTCCGCGTGGGGTGGTACAGGCCCTCGAGCAGCAGTACCACCCCAGCCCCAGATCATGGTGACTGGGGCGCCTGACTCCACAGACGCCCTTGGGCCGCTGGGTGCCGGGCGCCGCTGAGCCTCCCACTGCGGCCCGGAGCCGCTTGGGTTGGGCATGGCGTGCGGGGAGGGGGTGTGGCATGTTGGGCGGTTTTGGATCATGATCGTGACGGTGTTGATGGCGGTGTTGGGGGTGGGGGGCGTGGGGGCGTCCGACAAGTCGTGCTTCGCGGTGAACAGGACGGAGACGGCGTTCGTGGGCAGCCCGATGGAGCTGCAGGCCGTGTTCACGCCCCGGGGTGGTGCGGGCGTGGACCTCGTGTGCATCAACGGCGACCAGACGCTGGACGACCTGTCCTTTCTGCCGAGAATGGAGCTGCGGAACGACCTGACGCTGTGCGGGCGGCGCGTGTCGTCGTCGGCGATCACCGCGTCGCCGGACTTCAAGATGGCGACGGTCAACGGCGGGCTCAAGGTCTGCAACGTGTCGTTCATCATGGACAGCCCCAGCGAGGACCCGGGGCTGAGGCTGGAGTCTATGGTGTTCGACATTGGGCCGGGCGCCAGCGTGGTGTACAGCAACGTGTTCTTCTATCTCTCTGAGGGGCCGTATGGGGCTCTGAGGGACGCGCTGGATGCCAGGCAGGGCGCCAACGGCACGCAGGACGCGTTCAGGGTGGCGTCGCAGAGGATACTGCTGGAGTCCGTCACGTTCGGCAGGGTGAAGTTTGAGGAGGTGGAGGTCTTCTTGCAGGAGTCGTTCTTGCTACCCATTCCGAGCAGAGACGCGTTCGACTCGGTGGATATCAACAGCACGCGAGGCATCTCGAGGATGAGGAAGGCGCGCGCCACGCAGCTGCTCGAGCTGGTGGTCAATTTCCTCGCCAGCATCAAGGTGTCCAAGTGCCTGCTGATGTCGGTGCACGGGTCCAGCAGTCCGATCCCCGTCGAGCGCCCCACAACGCTGAGGGCCGGGGCCGGCGGCCTAGTGAACCTGGAGTTCAACACGGACATGCGGCGGGGCTTCCTGGACGTGCAGCACCAGGTGCGCGTGGACGGGCTCGCCATTATCAACGAGGCGATCTACCTGGAGCTGGAGCGGAGAGACGTGGAAACGGGGGGCTGCAGGCTGAGCGAGGCCGGGTGCTTCGAGTCGATGAAGAACGAGACCAACGTCGAGGCCAAGGTCCACCGGGAAATGTTCAAGTACAGCCGGGATGGGCCGGAGTGCCGCTTCGTGGCCCGCAACGCGCTGATGGTGCACAGCTGCGACTTCGTGCGGGACCTGGCGCTGCTGCTGGTGTTCCACCGGAACAGGATCGCCGCGGAGACGAGCCTGTTCGCGGCGCTGGACGAGACGATCCAGCTGTCGGAGCAGGAGACGCTGGGCAACACCACGATACGGTTCAACCGGTTCGTTGGGTTGGGGATGTGCCTGCAGAACACGACCGTGACGTGCGCACCGTCACCTGTGGAGAGGGGGCCGGAGCCCAGGTGGGTGGTTGCCACTCTTGTTGTGGATTGACTGACGTCCGTTCTTTGCATCGGAGTGAAGAGCGAGTTATCCTAGCCGGAGAGCCGCTGTCAAATGGGTTATCCACTGAATGTGTTGTTGGCAAGGGTGATAGAGGTCCCATAATGAATCTGTGCAAGTCAGGTGTCCGTTTCTCGTCTGGAAGCGGGGGTGCATGACAGCAGCGGCAGAAGTGTCAGAGACTGTGGTGTTTGTGTGTTGCAGATGAAGGACTTTATGTTGTTGTTGTTGTTGTTGTTGTCGTTGACATCTCCTTCTGTTCCAGAATATTTGCAATGCGTGGAAGTGATGCGGTCCTAACAGGAGCAGCCTGGGCCTTGTGTGCCACTTGCTGCTGCTGCTGTTGTTGTTGTTTGGTTCAAATACATTGCATCCTGTACGCAAAGTTGCGCTACAGCCGCTTGTCCCCAAGTGTCCATGTTGACGAAATGATGCAACAAGTGCTCTCAGCTGCCAGGTGCAGCTAAGTACAAGTGCTGTGCCATCAGACTCGCTGCTCTGCAGCATTCTCGTTCTGATTTGTGTTCGAGGCATGGATATCTGTCCAATTTTAGTGTTTGACTTCTCAACCGTGGATGTCGTCATACCTTATTGTGGTTGGGTGTTTGTGTCAGGTGCCGAATGTTTGAGAACACAGATACCACTGACCCGGAGGTCACCACAGATCTGTCTGAAAGCTACTACTACAAAGAGGTGGACTCCTCAGGCGACGAGGAAGGAATCAACACATCCGACTACTACCCCACTTCTTCTGACTATGAGAATGGTGGCAACACTTCTGACGACAACACTGTGGAAAGCAACAGCACGGGCATCTTCTTGGTCGCAACAGGCGCGTTGCTCTGGTTTGTCACGGCATGCCTTTTCTTTTACTGGTACAAAACATCCAGGAAGGCAAGGAAGCCATGCGAACTGGTTGCAGCAGAGCAGGGGGAGGCCAAGGGGGAGACAAAGGGGGATGCCAAGGGGGAGGATGAAGACAGTCAAGAACCTGCTTCGTCAAGCCGTGCTTGTTCACAGGACGAACTCGGGTTTGTGGATTTGGTGAAGTGCAAGGGACAAGACGACTTGCTTGGGTCTGGAGTCACCAGAGAGTCGCTAATCGGGGCCATTTCGTCAGCTACAGCAGGGATCGAAGACACATCTGCAAGGATCCAACGCCAGATCGCAGCTGGCGGATCTGGAGTAGTGTACAAAGGAACCTGGAAGAACATTACTGTGGCCATAAAGACTGTGGTATTCCAGGACCTGTCTGAATCATCAAACAGGCAGAAGCAGCGTGCCATCTTTGAGGCGGCGATCAGTTCCAGTGTCGCACACAAGAACATCGTTCAGACCTACGCTTACTCCTTCAAACGGCTCCATGCGTCCAGCATGTTGACATCAGACTACAAGGACCCCAAGCAGCTGAACATCGAGTCCACAACCACTGGCACTGGTGTTGTGGTGGACTGGAAGTTGTACATCGTGCAGGAATTCTGTGACGGTGGCAGCTTGCGGGAGTGCCTGGATAAAAAGATGGTTCTTGAAAAGGAGGACGGCCGCCCTAAACTGGGGGCCATATGCCAGCTGGCTTTGGAGGCAGCTTCTGGAATGAGTCACCTCCACACACAGCACAACATCGTGCACGGGGACTTAAGCTCCAAGAACATACTGTTAAAGAGGGACCCAACCGATGGGCCCGATGTGCTGGGGGTCGCCAAGATCGCAGACTTCGGTCTGAGCATCAAGATGGGAATGTTGCAGAGCCACATATCAAATCAGCGGGCTGGGACACCGTTCTACATGGCCCCAGAGCTGTGCCACCAGGGCAAACTGTCAAAGAAAGCAGACGTGTTTTCCTTTGGGGTGTTCATGTGGGAGCTCTACCACTCAAAGAAGTGCTACCATATGAACGCCAAGACTGGCATGCAATACCACCCTTTGTTTCCGAAGTTCCCAATCATGTGTCCCATACCCTATGCGATGCTCTGTGTTGTGTGCATATCTCCGAAGCCGGAGAACCGCCCAAGCTTCGACTTCATTGCGAGGGTGTTCGCATCGCTGAAGAAGCAAGTGGATGCAGGGATGTTCAATGACTTTGAGGAGGTGCGTCTCAAGAACATGGGCCTTGCCGCTGGGCTGGGGCGAATGACAGCACCCAAAATCTTGGAGTTGATAGCTGACCAGGTTGGCATCTCTGTTGAGGACTCGTTGGCGCGCGGGTGCTCATCATCAGGCCAGGATGAGTCCTACTCAGTGCAGAGCGAGACTTCCAGGACCGATATGTCCAACTCAATAAAATTCCCCCATTCCATGTTCCTGCCCTCCAACCAGCTCTGGAGTCAGAACGGCAGCACGAGTGTGGATCGCTCAAAGGAGGGTGAGGAGGTGCACCTCAGCCAGGCATACGTTGCCCCATTCAACTGTATTGTGACGGTGTCAGTCTCGACGGAGGTCGACCCAGACGCCCCAAAACAAGCCCCCCAGCACGAGCACTTTAACATATCTTGGCAGTGCGAGCCAGCGGCGAGTGAGCCCTGGGGAGAGCGCATACCAGAGGAGACGGGGTCCCATATTTCTGCGTCTTGCAGCCGGCCAGGGGGAGCAGGTAGCACCGCCTCTGGCTCTGGAGGGGGAGGCAGTACGGGATACCAGGTTTCCAATAATCCTGGTTACAGTAGAAGTGATGGGATGGCAGATGCCACAAAGGATGTGATAGCGCAGAGGAAGGTTCCCAAACCTGCATTGGGCCCCTGTGCAGCGAACAGCAGCTGCCGTGGAGACGACCCACTCAGTGGGGACGCTGCCCCAAGCAGCAATGAGTGGTCCAGCTCAGGGGGTGACGGTACTGGAAAACGATTGCTACCAGGGCCCCCCCGTGGCAGGATCTCTCCAAGGGTATCGCCTAGACTGGTGCCCAGGGCTGTTGGTCCCAAGGCTGCAGTGTCAAGGCAGGATTGCGTGCCACCCCACAAGTTGCCAGTGGTGCAGGAGGAGTGTGACACTGCATCAGGCGAAGTGAGCAGCAGCATTCTCACCACCGTGGATACCGAGGACACCATCGATGTGCAGTCAGCCTTCATGCCCTCCACAAGGAGCGGTGAAGAAGAGGACCAGTGTGAGGACCCAGATGCAGCGCTTCTTGAGGGCATGGTGCATTCGGACTCACATTCAGTTGTGGATTCACACAACCCAACTACGTCTTGATGAAGGTGGGGTGGTGGTGGCTGGCATTTCGTATGGCCAGTGCTTCCGCTGTGTTGCTCTGCGGTCATGTGTTGTTGTGGCATCTGCGCCCTTCCCTTTCTACACAATCCCCGCTTGCTCTCCCACCAAGGGCCCACCTGATGCTCCGATTGGTCGAGGCTTGCCTGGGCTTTACCCAGGCGCAAGCAAGGGCCAGCCGATCTGCTTCCGATGATTCTACAATTGTTCTGGTGGCTTGATTCCCAAGAACTCAGTGGACTTTTCCGATGGAAAGGAGCCCCTCTCCTGGATTGTTACTGTTCTTGGGTGACTCAAGAAAACTGGCCCACACAGCCAGGCAGCCTGTGACAATGCTCTGCCAAGAGCTGGGTGTCAACAGTGCGATCCGTTAAAGGCAGGCCTGTGAATGGGAGAGTGTGGGTCACCGATGCTTCTGGAAGTGAGTTGGAATCCATCAGAAGACTATGTGCAGGGGTGGTGGTTCAGGGCCTTGGTATGGATCAGCTGCAGCGGTGGGCAGTGCACCAGTTTTCGCACAGAAGCCACAAGAGCTCATCTTGAGGGTCTGCAGGAATTCCTTGGCATGCTGCTGAATGAGAGACTGTCAGAAGAGGTTCTGTTACTTTTTGCTGTTAATTTATCCACTGTATGTGGCCCAGGGGAATAAGCTATGGTGGAACGCAAATGGAGCGTGTCTCGGGAGGTCTGGGGGCCTTTGCTGGACACGCTCTGCTCCTGGAATGCATTGGTCCCGGTGTGGGCATTGCGGTGCAGCCCGGCTGCCCCTGCCCCATTAATTTCTGCCGGCATGCAGGCAGTTGGTGGGCGTTTGCTGGAAGGCCCAGGTAGGAGTACGCGGATGTATTTGTATGCCGACTTTTGAGAGGAAATGATTGCAGCCGACGATGCACGTCGCTGCATCGGGCGGCTTCTGGTTGAACGTGGGTGCGCTGGGTACAACGATGCGGGATGCTGGCGGTGAGGGGGGATTGTGGAAGGGGGGAAGGGAAGAAAGTGGGCGGCAGGTTACGGGTTGGACGATGCACGGGGAGCGTCGTGCATGGCTTCATTTGGAATTCCTGGTGCCCCCCGTCAGCGCACGTCTGATGCCCCTCGTCAGGAGGCTGCTGGACCTTCCGGACCATGCAGCAATTCCCAATCCAGGCGCGCTGGCCTGAAGCGCTTTAAAACGACAAATCGCACAGCTCCCTGGGCCGACTCCTTTGTGGAGCATTCTTGGAGACGCGCCATGACGGTGGGTCGATTTGCGGGGTCCCAGTGCAGAGAACTGAGCACAGAGGCACGCAAAAATAATGGTACTGTTGGCGTGTGAAAATGTGCCGTAGATTTGATTTCTACGATTTGATTTTTTAAACAGGCGGTCAGGGGCAACCGGGAGGTGACTCAAGGCGTTATACATCCCCTGCCTGACCAGTTCGAAATTTCCCCATGTTCGCCGTGTAAGAAGATGATTTTCCGCTGCCCACAGACTGACCAACGACGGCTTTACCCTCAAGTGGCCCGCCATAGCCGTGCTGCTGCGGGGCCCGCGTTTGTCGTCTGCTGAGAATGCAGCCAACCAGATCGCCTGTCGAATGGCCCCCTGTCTGGCCTCCAAGACCGTCGCAGACTACCAGCAACCACCTCCCAGCACCCTTGCCACCCAAAAGCCATGCACGCCCAGTGTGCCCTGTTGAAGATACCTTGCATGATGTTCAGGTCGCCAATATATGATATGAAATTTATAGCAAGCTGGCGACCTGTGAGCCTCAAAAGGTGGATAGGAATTGGCAAAAATCCACAAAAGTGAAAAAAGGGCTGTCTCCTACAAAAGGACGAACTCCAGCATAAAAGGAGAATATGGAGTTAGCAATGCTGCAAGTCGTATGGGTATCTCGATGTGCGCCCAATTCTACCAAGATACGGGACACGATACCGATGCCACAGAGGTCCCACATCCCAAGAAGTGACGCGACCCACTGGGCTCCGGGCGCCACCCCTTTGGCCATGCATGCTTGGCTCACGAAGCTGGGTCCTCACTCGGAAACTGATTTCGACAACGCAGCACTGCTGGAAGGATGGATCTGCACCGATCGGTCGCTGTATTGCGTGTCAATTGGCCTGCACCAGCAATCGGGATCGAGGGCCTACGAGCACCGATGGCAATCGGTGAGACCGGTGATGGCTGCGACTCGTAGCAAAGCTTTGCCGATGGATCCACTGGCCGAGTGGAGGCCTCGAAGACTGCGCGGGATTGCAGCTTGCGGAATGTGCAAACAGCGAGAGGCGTCAGCGTTGGTGGTGGTGCAACACAGCAACGGTCTCACTGGACAGGTGGCGGGGGACCAAATGACGTACCGCTACTGGATTACTCACAGTGGCAGACAGGGCAGCGAACGTGGGCATCCAGTGAGACGCTACAGGGCTGAGATTTTGGGTCTCAAATGGCTTCCCAGATGGGAAGTCTGTACCAATGTCGGCCAAGCTTTCCATCAAAGGTGATCAACTGGAACAGACCCAAGAAAGGTGGTGGTGCGTGCTACAACGATCTACGGCATCTGCAAGGCAATGCACGCAACTTGATGACTATGCTGCTAAGTTTCAAACAAGATGATGTTCAATGTATGTGATTAATGTCATTGTGCAACTGGAAATTTGTGGAAATTGCTGCAAGCCTATGCTGAAGACACTGACAAATTAAAGCTCTGACGTCGGGCCTTAAGTGACTGAGGAATTCTGAAGATGCTCGCTGGAATAGGTTTGACTTCTCAGTGATTGCCGTGCACCAAAACGCCAATGCTGACATGGATTTCAATGCTCATCTATGTACAATTGATCCAGAGCAGTATAGGGCGAGGTATGATGTCATCGCTTTTCAATTCTTCCGCCTTAAGCAGATGTTTTCTTAAATGGTTCTATGAGGTCCAACAGCCCAATAGGGATGCGACCTGTTGCGCACGGAAACATCAAGAACTTGGTCACGAATTTGATTATGAAAGTGTCGAGACTTTGTCGCTGATGCGCTGGGTGAGTGTATCAGCCCTGTCCACATGAGTGCTGCAAGGGGGCTGTGTGAGGATTAGAAGAGCATGCTGTGGGGTTTGCGGAAGCACGCTGACATGTGATACGAATAGTAGAGTATGAGGCGCAAGGAGAGTGAGAATGTTGTGAACTGCCACGTTAGGACGTGACCTGATAGAAATTGTATGAGATTGGGTTGTATTGCCTTTTCTAACGTGGCTAGGGTATTTGGGAATGGCTGCCTTGCTGTGTTGAGGTCGCAGGCCGCATGCTGCTGTGCCCTATGTCGGAGGGGTTGAACGGGACGGACCATAGTCCGTGAAGTTGTAAGCACTTAGTTGACAGTCTCGATGTAAGCGACTCGTGCACACAGGCCGTGGCGCGCAGCCTGACCAAATCGGCTTCACAGCCAAGAATTTGGGGTCTCCTGCCCTTGGATATCGACAGATCGCGCCCATCGCATTTTTGTCTTTCGAGTGCACTTGGGGTTAATATGATCCAAGCGATTCTGTGAGAACCGAAGCGGCTTTCCGTGTTTTCCTCGCCCAAGGCCTGGATTTCTGCGTGAGCCCGGGCGTGCAAGGCCCGGAGGCCCGTTTGAGTTCGACTTTCTGTGGCGGAATCACTGGCGACGTGAATGCAGGGGAGCTGTACGTCACCAAATTCGTCTCTTTCGCCGCAAATCCAATCGAGCCGGAAGGCGGGATAGGCGAAGGCTTGGCGCTTTGTGGATTTTCGCCCGGGTGGCTGCCATGTCAGACGGCCACCTTTTGCAATGACGACATGCGTTGACCTCATTTGTGAATTGATGAGACTTCGTGACCCAAAAAGCCTACTGACGGCTGGCGTGGCCTGAGCATGCTACCAGGAAATCGTGCAACGGGAGACGCCAAAGGCATTCAAGGAGCGGCACGACGCCTCTGAAAAGTGCACGGGGGCATTCGAGATTCGCACGCAGTTGCGTTGATTGCTCGAACGGGGCTGAAGGTTAAGATAGGGACACTGAACAGGACGAGGGGGGAAGCATTGCAGATTTGATGGACTGCATTGAAGGTTTGTGGTGTCCGTCCTGCAGTCGTCATCAAATCAAGGGGAAGCCGCCACGTCAACGAAAGTTGGGGCCGCTTTCGATATTCTGGGTAGTGATGTGAAGGCTCCAGGGACTCTAGGTAGGCAATCGCAACGCAATCGACATGACACACACGGGGTCGGCATGTCACATGTGCATGGCACTCTGTACCCCTGGCCTCGGACAAAAGCAACAGCCGTGCATTTGCAGCTGTTGATAGTCTTGCTGACTGCGCAAGTAGCCACCTCGAAAAGATTGCATTTGCTAGATACACACTTCCAGTATATGGACGCCCATATGTTGGATAGGTCCATTATCGCAAAACAAGTGCAGCATGCCTCACAGCAGAATTGTGCCTTTGGAGAGAGCTATCCAATGGCCCTTCAGAAGTTGGCGAACAATTGTAGAACAACGCATCCATCGTGGAACAAGGCGACGCTTCTCTCAGATTCGCCAATGCGCCAAGCCTCACCATAAAGTAGCGCAGTGCCGTGCACTTGCCGCCCACGAATATGGTCAGAATTTTCCAATGAATTCACCTGAAACGCGGCCAAATTGGGCGCATCTAAAATGCAAATTTGCCATGCCCTGTAACCAGGAATTCCAATCTGTCCTTCTTCGCCGTTTCTTTGACTGTAGATATCCATCTTTGGCGGCATAGATGGGCCATGCTCCACAGTAAACCATGTGTTTCATAGGGGCCCTTCGCTGTTCTCGTTCACAAATGATCCAGCCGGCAGCGCGGTGGCCTTCACGAGGCGTCACAAACCATTAATTAAAATAGATTTTGCAATAGTGCGGGTAATACAAGACTTTCGGTACAATTCATGTTTTGGCATGGATGAAAAGTGTTTGAAATGATTAATTTTGCTGGCGCGCTGAAAGCGCAAAGGTAGCGTCACGTCTCTGG